AAAAGCGGCCGTTCCCCTTCCTGGTGTGGCTACCTTTTTATGCAGGTGGCTACCAGTGTGACAGGAAGGAGGGAGGCGGGCTCCTGTCGGGGATTCAGGGCCGGCGGGACGGCAGAGCCATCGGGTGCCCGTCCCTGTCGCTGCCTTCCTGTTGGTGCCACTTCTCCACCCGTGATCTAGCGCTGCGTATTTTTACCCCCTACCTTCTTCTGCTATTTCTATTTGTAGCACCCTGCTAGACTTGTACCCAAGCCAATCCAAAATTCTTCTGAAACTCCCCGTGCTAGCAGCAACATGAAAGCAGAACTGCCACGGCGATGGTAGAGCTCGAAGTTAAGAGGTGTCAGTCCCTTCAGCCTCTGCCTTGCTCTGGGGATGGCAACCCATCTGCGGGTGAAACAGCTCCCAAACACGGGGTTGTGTTGCCTTTTCTCGTGACAGACCTAACAGTACTCTCCCTGGAATTACCAGCCAGCATTTGAAACTGATGTGTTTTTGTTGCTGTGTTTTATATGGAAGGTTTGTTTTCTTGTTGTTGTTATTGAAGATAACAGGTAGGGCCATGAAAGCCCAGCGCGCTCGCACTCAGCTGAGGCAGAACTTAGTACACTGTGAAGTGTTTTACTGCAGTGTGGAAGTGTCAAGGCATTTTTTTCTCTTATTTTCTACGAAGCGGGGAAAAGCCATTTTCAAAGTGTCCTGTCCCACCAGAAGACAAAGCCGTAGAAGAGCCAAACTGAATTCCCATAGAACGTGTCCCTGGCTAGACCTGTAACGCTGCAGTGAGCCACGTCCTCTGGAGTGCAGGAGCAGTGACAGACCCTTGTGCCATCCTGCCCCCCGGGCCGTAGGAGAGGTGCTCCATGGGGTGTGCGAGGCTCGGAGCAGGGCAGGGGTCTCCAAAGAGGGGCTGCTACCATCTCCATCCTCCAGAGCTGGACCCTGGAGCCAACAGCAGTGCTGCTGAGCCAGAGCCGGTGCCGGGGAGCAGCCGGGCTGCTGGGACGGGCTGGGGAGAGCCAGCCTGGATGAGCTGGTGTTCCCAGGGACCGAGCAGAAATGCCACACGATGGACAGCCCTTCTTTCCCCCTCATCCTCCCTGCTGCATCCAGACCTAACCTGGGCGTTTGGGACATCTCTTCTCCTAACAGAGTGTGTGTTCGATGTCTAGAGAGCAGACTGGAAATAGGGGTGTTTCTGAAATCTCCTTCTGCTCCCACGTCCCTGACGCCCGTCACAGCATGGAAACCTCACTCAGGACTTTGTGCGTGAGTCGTGTCAGGACTCTGATGGCATGCTTCTCCCCAGGGACAGTGTCAGCAGCACCCTGAAGTAGGACAGTCGTGCTCCTTCCTTCTGGCTGCTGACTGTCTTCCAAGTCGCTGTCTTTTATTTTAGAGCACTGACTGAGGAAGTGGGAGACCTGGGTTCAAAGCGTTCCTCAATCTGAGAGCGCTCGTCTCTCACTTCCCGTGAGCCTGTCCAACAGCCGGCCCCTCTGCTGTCACGGGGGAGCGTTTTGGGGTGAAGCTGTGCCTTCCCCCAACGGGGCGTTTGTGCCCCCCGGCCCGCTGTCGGCAGGCAGCTGCTGGTTTAGAGTGACATGGTCAGAGCTTCGTGGTGTGAGGAACCTCGGGCTGCATTTGGTGTTCTCAGAGCTAGTTTGCAAGACTCTGTGGCTTAGGGAGGATAGTGTACGGTGCATCTCCTTGGAGATGCTCCTCTGGCAGGCACAGAAGCAGAAAACTTGAATGTGAACCAAGGAGAAACCACAGAGTGCAGGTGGCTGAGAGACAACGACCTCAGTGACTCTGGATCTCAGTGAAGGTCTAGTTTTGTGCACTTAAGTCTCTTGGTGGTGGTAACTCTCTAAAACCCACCTCTGCATTTGCCTCCTTTGTGTGGACAGATCCTGGTAGATCAGCCAGATCTTTACTGCCTCTTTGATAAACATTTCCAAGGTTTATTAAATGTGCTCTGTGACGTTCTTTTGTGGAGACAGTAATTTGACAGTCATCACGTGAGAAACTAAGAGTTTGCCATCTGGCCTGGCAAGACTTTTTTTCTCTCCTTACTATTAATTAAACTGAGGTTATTGCAAAATTTTATTACGATGGTTATGATTTGTGCTGTGATAAGGCCGGGGCTGATGCGAGGCGTGCAAGCCCTTCCACGCTGGTGACGTTAGAGGGAGGTGCACCTGAGCAGCACCTCCTCGGACGCCGTGTCGGCTCTGGTAGCCAAGGGCCAGTTCCTGCTGTCCCGATCCAGGCACCTTACCCTGGAGCAGGTCCATCTGGTTCTTGGGGGTGGTTTCACAAGCAGGAAGATGTAGCTGGGGGGGAGGAAGGGGGCAGCTGCTTGGCCACGGCAGTGTCCTGTAACATGCCCTGGCAGGAGATCTTACTGACCACAGCTTTGCCCTGCTTGGTGAGGCTGTGACCATCCGTGGGAAAGCAGATCGGCAGCAACAGATTGTTAGAGCACAGTAAGAAAAGAAGGGAGGGAAAGGCAGTAGGGCCAAAGCTGAAATCGTCTGCAAAAACCAGGTGCTGAAGATGCTGGGGTGAGGAAGAAGGAAACGAAGGTTTTTCTGGTGGTGGGACAGAAGGTGGCTGTGGCCTGTCGGGGATGGATGTGTGTGGCGTTTGGCTGTCTAACCTCTGTTTCCAATCCACGCTGACACCCAGCTCAGGGACCTCGGGCGTCAGAGGCTCTCGCTTGTTCTTCAGTGGTCTCCAAACTGTCACTTTGCAAATGTGCTGATACTGGCAGGTTTGAAGAAGATGGCTGGGAATGAGGTCTGTGAGAAGCTGTCCCCTGGCGCTGACTCTTGACGTCTTTCCCCTCTTTGTCAGAGACTTGAATGCTTCACTGCTCAGAGTTAACTCAACAGCTTGACAAGAGATTCAATAATATTTGTTTTTACCCAAATCCCTCGAAGTCTGAGGGACTGGAGACAGCATCAGTTTGAGATGGAGAGCCAAGAAAAGTAAATCATCCTTGGGTCAGGGTGAACTCTCATTTGAAGAGGCCACAGACGGCAGAGATGTTCATGAATCAGCAGTTCCACAGACCTCTGCCCATTCAGAGAGTCCTGTGTATAAACAGAGATGAAAACAGCACAGAGCCACAGAGCTTTCCAGATCCTTCCTCTTCCCTTTGCGCTGCTGAGGGCAACCTCTGCGGAGGAGGAGGAGAAGGGTGAGGTGCCAGGCCCTGAGCTGGTCCCAGGGCTGGTCATCCTCACCCTCTGCTGCAGCTGTGAGGGGCAGAGCCCAGGGCGAGACACGGCTCCCCGTGTCCCTCTTCACCTGGCAGCACCCGGGGCAGCAAAGGGGGCAGCCACCCACAGGCCTGGGGTCTGAGATAAAGGTAAGGAGGAAGGGTTTAGGCGAGGAATGAGCTGTTGCAGGGCTCCAGAGCAGCTCCTGGGTGGAGTGGAGAGAGTCTGTCCCACCGGGCAGTGCTCCCCAGAGCTGATGGATGAGGAGGTGAGGCAGAGGGATGCAGCAAGCCCTAGTGACACCATCCTGCTCTTTGGGTCTGTGCACCCATGAGTCTGGGACCCCAGCGACCTGTCAGGGTGCTGATTTCTTCGCCGTGGTCCTGTTCCCTGCTGGTGGGATGGTCTGTCCTTCCCTGCTGTGTGACAGAGCCAGGACCACAGCGGAGGATGCCGTGTCTGAGAGCACAGAGCTCACGGCTGGTGGGGCAGAGGTGGGAGAAATCTGCACAAATCCAGAGTGGCCGTGCCTGTGGCAAGCAGAGGTTACACACAGCTGAAGTTCTCCCCTGCAAAGGTGTCATCTCAGGCTCTCAGCAGACTCAAACAGCCTTCCCTTCATCCTCCCCGTGCCATTTATATATATATATCTATTGGTGGTTGTTTTTTTTTCTATCATCACAGTCACAAAAGCTTCAGAAAGCTCTGGATAATTCCATGGCTGTGAGCGACTGCAGGCCCAGGGTGTGTGCCTGGGCAGAGCGTGCCTTACCCCGCAGAGACCCCCCGACTCCTGCCGAGCTGCTGTGGGGGGATTCTTCCTGCCTCTCTTTGATGTTTGCCAAATGCCATGCTCGGAGAGTGCAAGTCCAGGGGGCCGTGCCGAGGACCCCCGCCTGGTTTCGCTTGGGTATTCCAGGATCTGCCGGCCAGGGGGGCTCCTGGAGAGCCACAGCGTGGCTTCCATCCCTGCCCCAGCGCGAGCCTGGGGCGGAGGAGGAGATGTCAGTGGTGAGAGCGGCCAAGCCAGAGACTGCGCGGGGTTGTTTGCCAGACTTTTATAGAGTGTCTATCTGGGATGAAACACAGAGCCCGGATCTTCAAAGGGCTGTGTGGGCTGGCGGCTATGGGACTCCTAGTAAAGTTACTGGGCATCACACCACTGAAAACTTGTGTGACACCCACGTGTTTCTGCCGAGGAATAGCTGGGGCTGGGGCTGCCCGGACAAGGGGACATGGAGGCAAATGAACTCGGCCATGCCCCCAAAAGAGGGCTAAAATTTCAGCCACTTGTCTTGTTTTGTAAGGAGCAGTTACAGTGGGTATCACAGGAGATGTAAAGCAACGTGTGAGACATTGGGATTTATTGTCAGCAGATGAGATGCTTCAAATTAATTGCTGCATTGGAGAACATCTAACCTAACTCCGTAAAGAACTTGAGGGAGCTAAGTGGAGTAAATTGGATGAATATGACCAAAGTTAGAGCATCTGGCTGCCACCCACCTTTCCAGAGAAGAGAAGAGGTTCCCAGACAGTCTTCAGGAGATGCAGAGCATTGGGAGAGGGCACAGGGTGAGGGGTGGCCCCCCAGGCAAAGCCCAGTGATTGTATCAGAGAGAGCCAAGGGGGGGTCACCCTGGTCACAGCACTTTCTGTGGCTCTGCCAAGACACTGATGGGTCCAGACTCGGTATAGACAGACTCCCCTTTTCTTACTGTCCTGACATCTCTCAGGCTTTAATGTGAACTAACTACTATTATCCTAATTTTACAGATGGGGACAGACAGGTTACGTGACATGCTCGAGATCACATGAGCCGTCTGTGTCAGAGGAGAAACTGCAGCTGGCTCTCTCCGTTGTGAGGCTGTTCCTCCTGACTGCAAACACCACATCCAGCCTGACCTCACCTGTGTCCTTTCTGTCCCTCCAAATGGTAAGTTTTTTGAACAAATCAAAGAAACAAAAATGTCACTCCTTGGGTTTAGACATCCAGTCCTCTGTATGCTGTGGCATGATACACCTTGCACCTGCAATTAATGCAAGTAATTACTGCTTACTGCAAAGGCATCACTGGTTAAGACTCTAGATGAAACTTTCACCTTGTTTACCGAGTGCCCGGTGTTGCGCGATTCAGAATGGATTTGGGTGATACCTGCAGGATAAATTGACTTACAGCCCACATGAGTGCTGCCAGCTCCTTGGCGCTATTGTCATTATTTCGCCACCACTGGAGTTTTAATACCAATATAGAGAAGTCAGGGAAATAATTGGGTAGGAAAAGTAGTCATCAGCTATTGCAGAGGGTTTCCTTGAGGTTGTCGGGTTGCCTCCTCCACTCAGAAAGGTTTAATATAAGGCTGACAAAGGAGTGGGTATCCATAGTTTGCTGGAACACGTGCATGTTCTTGGTCTTCAGCTTCATTGAAGAGCAACAGGAGTAGGATCTCCAGGGTGCCCCAGGAACCACTGGTGATGGCTCCCGGGGCACAGGACCCCTGGGGCACATCCCACAGCCCCCTTCTGAGCAGCACAGTGACTGAGAGACCAGCTTTCAGTGCAACAGCCCGTCCTTTTGACTCCGTCTCGCAGCCCCCCGCTGCCCTGTGCTGCTCCAGCTGTGCCCTGTGCTGCTCCAGCTGTGCCCTGGGCTGCTGCTGTCACCCAGCAGCGCTGCCAGTGGCACCGGGCTCCCGGCCCTTCAGGACACCAAAGGGACAGCCATTAATTGAAACTCATCAGGCAAACAGCCACTTCTGCTTGCTGTGGCTCTGTTCTCGGCTCTGAAGCCAGGCTGACAATTTTCGCTGGTTTCTCAGACCTCCTATTGAGTTTTGTTAATTAATATTTGTGAAGTACTTAAATGTTTTCAGGTTTATGGTGATCCAGAGTATTGTTATTACCATTGGTATTATTAATATTAATAATACTGCTAATAACCTTAGTGAGCCCGGCAAAATTCAATTTGACTAAAATCCGTGCCGCAGATGAAAAAACCCTAAGTCTGGTGATGTGAGGGGGTACGTGACTCAGTTACCAGTAACTGCTGTTTACAAGGGGCAGGAAGAGTATATTTGCTCAAATGAAAAAAGGTCAAGGCAGAGGCCCATTTGCTGTTTGTTAATAAGTAATCTAAAGTACAACACAGCTTTACTGTAACAAATCAGCCTGGCTTAGCTTTTCTTCCATCACCATTATTTCCAATCCAGTTTTGGACTGAAATGGCAATTCAAAAATAATCCACCTTCTCATAGACTGTTTTTAACATCTCCAAATCTCTGGAGAGGATTTGTAACTGAGGAACAACAGCAGCAACAAAAAAACCCTTTCCATATTTTTGCCAGTGTTTGTCTCAGGACACTGCAGGCAACCAAGGTTGAAATATCAGATAGGGCATTATTTATCTCCTGGGAAATTCTCCTTTAGGCTCAGACCTGTGCATCTTCCCTACGGACCGGTGCCAGCCCAGAGTGGGGTGAGGCTGCCCCGCTTACAGCCGCCCCACTGAGCTCCTGATGTCACCTGCAGAGCCACCGGTGTCACCTCGGAGCCTGGGTCCCAGTCAGCAGTTAAAGTTCAAACACGGGTGCTGGAGAACATCCTCCTTCCAGGTGACCGAGCACATGTGCACTTGATGCACTGCGACCCCTGCCCTCTCATTGGCTTTTGCAGAAATTAAAAAAAAAAAAAAAAAAAAAAAAAAAAAAAAAAAAAAAAAAAAAAAAAAAGAGAAAAGGCCATTTTCCAAGCAGCACTTGTCTTTAGCCACCGAGCAGTGCTCTGGAAAAGGGCTGGAGTCTGTGGCTCACCTACTGGCCGCGGGTAGGACTCACTAGGATTGGTTTTGCCATTAATGAGCCACTTGAAGTGCTTATCAAGAAGGCAGTATCTGTGCCAGCTGCCAGCGAACCACAGCTCCCGCTGGTAACCCCCGGTGGCTGTGTCCTCCAGCCGCACTGTCCCGAGGCACCGGCCCCGTCCCGCCGTGGGGAGGGTGGTGGGGATGGGGAGCCGGGCAGAGCCCAGCCTGGCAGTGCCAGCGTGCCCCCGCAGCGCCCGACCATCACCCCCCCTGCTTTGCATTATGCAGAGCTGTTTCTGTAAGAAGGGTGGCAGGGGCACACACACACACACACACGAGGTCACCTTTGGGAATGCAAGCTGTGCAGGTTGCAAACTGCAGTCCCTGGCGTCCTGAAATGCAATTTTGAAAGGCAATGGCCCTTCAACACACCGATAACCCCTGCTCGGGCAGTCCCACCTGCCTTGTAACCCGGCGGGGGGAAGAGGATGGTGAGGAAGAGTGTTTCCTGCAGAGCAGGTCACGTTTGGCTGTGAGCTCGGAGCATCTTTCCAGTGCCAGAGCCATAACACAGAGTCTTCTTGAGCTCTGTAGTCCCGGAGGGCAGCAGGGTCTGCCTCCAGCCAAGGCAGGGAGGGGAGGAATGGTTTCTGCAGAGCTGCCCCACTGGCACCAAGCAGGAAGCATGAGGCTGATATGAGGGATGCAGAGAATACAGGGAAGAACAGGAGGGAGCTGTTGTAGGGTCTTTGCAGTGGGATGGAAAGCGGATTCATGCAGCTGAGATCTCACATGCAGCAGACAGCAGCACTGCAGGCTCCCAGCTGCCAGGAAAGGGGTATTTTGGATGCCCCAGAGCCCTCGTGTTTGCCTTACTGTTGTGTGTTATTGACACAAGAGAGGAGGAGGAGGAGGAGGAGGGGAGGGGAGGAGAGGACACCCGGTGTCCTGGGGGAGCAGGCGCTGCCCTGTGTGTCTGTGCCTGTGTGGGGGCTGGAGCTGGGAGGCTGGCCAGCAGGACCGCTCACAGAGGTCCTTCAGCTGACCTGGGGGCTGCATCCCAGAGCCAGGGTGGGCAGCAGGGGGTGCGGGGGAATCGATGCTCCCTTCGATGAATCTGGCTGAGCTGGGGATGTGAGCAAACAGCTGGAGGCTTAAGCAGGGTCAGGAGGATGGTAGCACAAAGTCCTGGGTGCCGTGCCTCTGGACTGCCCTCAGGGAGGGCACACGTCGGGCAGGGAGAGCAGTGAGTTACGGGCTGGCAGCCTTCGCGGGGCGGCGATGCCACATGAAAACACACGTGTGTGTTACTCACGAGGTGCACGTTCACTGCCCGTGCCGGCAGCAGCGTGTGCCCGGGGTGGGGGAGTGCTCTGCTCCTTCCCTGGGCATCGTGTGATTTCCCCTCGTTGTGCTCTGTGATGGGCAGCAGCTGGTGTTTCCCAGTTGCCCAGCGCCTTGCAGGAGTCTTCAGCAGCACCCATAGCTCCAGTCCTCCTCCAAAGACCAGTGAGGATTTACTTCTTCCCCTTACAGCAGTGGAAGAGCTGGGGTACCAGGGTGTCAGGCGACTGTCCTGAAGCAGTGGGATTAGCTAGAAATGGTTAAGTGTTCCCTGAACCCAGGCCTGAGCATAAGGCATCACCACCTTGCCACCCCTCAGTGGCATCATGACAGTCAGCTTTGGAACTGTAGAGTCTTTTGCGCACACGTGTGTTTAATGAAAAGGAAGCCCAGTGCTGCAAACACCACCGTAGAGACACATACTCTGTTCTAACCGGTAGCCAGGATGCCTGGGAAAATATGCAGGTGGTTTCAGAAAATCATAAGTAGCCTATTATCACGGAGGAGAGGGGGGAAAAAAATCCCCTGGGAGTTTTTTCCCGTGACCATCTGTTAATTTTCCGCCGAAGCCATTATTGATTTGCACAGGGTGGCAAATCTGGTGCTGGGAATCAGAGCTCTGCACTGCCCGGGCTGAACCAAGCAGGATTCACTGAGGGGAACCGACGTGGTGATGTGCTTCCTCAGCTGGGGCCTGGAGCTTCACGGGCCTGGCCATCATCAGCCTCAAAGGGCTGCTGTTTCCCATAAACACTGCGCTTTGCTGCGCCTCGCCCTGGAGCAGAGGTGACCCCCCCTTGGTTACCTACCCGCCGCTCTCTGTATAGGTCATGTAGTTCTCATAAAGAGAGGCCAAGGGCAGAATTACCAATTTCTACCATCACAAATATAATTCGTGTAGTAAAAATGGAAACCAACCAGAACAAGCTGCACACTGTCGTGAATTTGGTCCCGATGGAAGCTTGTCCAGCTGGATGATTCCTCAAAGAAATGTCATCATCTGTGCATTTGTATGGTAAAGTAATACTGCTCATGAAAAAAAGTGCATTTGTATGGTAAAGTAATACTGCTCACGAAAAAATGTCCCTATGAACAGTGCAAACAGATACAGAAAGTGTTTTGCTAGTTAATAATCTAAATACAATTTTTTGCTTTTTGACAAGAAACGAAGCTGTTTCCAGTCTCCCCCGCATGGTTGTGCATTTGTATGGTAAAGTAATACTGCTCATGAAAAAAATGCAAACAGATACAGAAAGTGTTTTGCTAGTTAATAATCTAAATACAATTTTTTGCTTTTTGACAAGAAACGAAGCTGTTTCCAGTCTCCCCCGCATGGTGCTGGATGCGACAAAGGTGCTGGGGGTGTTTGGGAGGAGCTGCTGGGGCAGGGGCAGCCCTTGGTCTCTGCAGAGACAGCAGCAGGACGGATTTTCCGGGTGCCTTTCTCCCTCAGCACGTGCCAATTCACCAAACTCCTGCTGTTCCGCACCAGGGCCTGGGTGCCCAGGCTGAGTAACTCTGTGGTGCGGCCCTTTGCAGCTGCAATTACTAATTTTTTAAGTTCTACCCAGGAGTACTTTGATGTCTCAGTATTAAGCTCTTGTGTTTTTTGATTTCCAGTGCCCAGCTTCTGACTCAGAGCCAGCAATCCCTGCAGTGTGCCCGAGGCAAGCCTGGCACCGCCACATGAGGACCAAAACACTCCGTGCGGTGGCCAGAGAGAATAACAGGGAAATATTTAAGTCTTAAATGCTGCTGCTGCCGTGACCCAGCCCAGCAGCTCCTCTGAAGGTGAGTACAAGGAGCCTTTCTCTCTCTGTAAAGATGTCTGATCTGAACCGTGCTCACCAGCAGCCAGGGAGTGACAAGCAGGGTGACAGTTCTCCCCAGGCTGTTTGGTCCCATCTGTCACCTCCAGCAGAGCACCCAGGCCATGAGGCCGGGAGCTGGACACTCCAGGCCTGCTCCCGGCTGAGGATCTGCTGCTCCACAGAAGATGCTGTTGAATCACCAGGCCGGAAAGCAAGGGCACGTGCGTGGCTGCCTTACCTCCTGGTTCTAGCATTCCCATGGGAGTCTGAGATTCTGGACTCTGCTCCCAGGACTGTTTATGCATTTTACATGAAACAGTCACCAGGTAACATATAATCCCCGATCAAAGCCCTCGGGGGATTTAGGCAAAGCAACGCCCAGTTTCTGGATCCTGATCAGACTCAGGTGTGAATTGGGCTGAGCTGCTTGGCCCTGTCAGGGCTGGGGCAGCTCTGGGCATGCACGAAGGTGGAACTCCAGATAGCTGAAAGTATTAAAAAGAGTCGGAGACTGAAGGGGCCAGGTAGTGGGAAGGACCTGGGAGCTGCCGTGGGACGTTGCTGCCAGCAGTTCCATCTCAAGTGCAGATGGAGGGTAAACCATCAGGTGCTCCATAACAGAGTCCTCTTACAGAGAAACAATTGTTCTCACAGATTCCTGGAGTGGAAACTTATTTACATAACCATTTCATGTGCTTTTTGAAAGAAGAAGTCCCATCCTGGCCTCCGCAGTTGCACGGGTTTGTTTCCAGCAGGCTGCCTGTGCGGAGCTGCACAATGGTGGCCGCCGCATGAATAGCTTGTTATTCTTACCGAGCGTGACAACTGCTGTAGCGAAATCAAGAGCAACCTGCTCTAATGTAAACTGATTTCAGATTGCCCCCGGCAGTCCCAGCTACCTCATATAACCTCTTTTTTTTTCTTTTTTCCCCAGTCTTTTTTTCTTTTTTTTCCTTTTTTTTTCCCTTTCCCCACCGGAGAGACACCCCATGGTTTTTCATCAGGTGTTCTGTCCCCCTGGCTGTTGCACTGGTGTCCACAACCTGCAGCTGAGCTGCTCTGGGTTATCCGTGGTGCATTCCAAGGGGCTCCTGGGCCAAGCACCGCAGCCGTGTTTGCTGGGGATGTGGCTGTTGCATCTTTGGTACCCCCGGCGTGCCTGGGGAGAGCCGTGGGGCCGGGGAGGTGCAGAGGAAGAGGGCTGTTGAGAGGGACCCTCTGTGGCACCAAACGCCCGCGATGCCCGTTGGGCAGCAGTTGTGTGTTGGTGGGGAGCGGGGAGTGGGCTGGGGCAGGCAGAGCTGTGGGAGCAGCAGCCCAGTTTGCCAACCGTGGCTGCCAGATTGGTGTGTGTGATGGGTGTGATATAAATTACTATCTATAAATAAATACCACAACAGCATTTTAATGAGGTGTTTTCTAGTAGCACTTGTCCAGGCTGGTAGTGTTATGTTAAGGCTAGAGAAGTATCTCCAAGCAAGCTTCTTGGCTAAACCTTCATAAACACCGTCTCACCCAAGATCTAACTATGATTTGTTTGGATAAGAGGTTTTGCTTGTTTGTTTCTGAACATACTTTCAAATATGTTTGGGTTTTTACTTTTATTTATTTATTTTTCCTTCTTGGCCCTGGTTTTGTGTTGGTGTCCCAGAACCCAACTGATGCAGAGACAGGGGACAAATCTGATGCCTTTCCTGGGCATTCCTTGCTGTTCTGACAACAAGAACCTTGCAGAGGGCCTGGGGTCATCTGGGGCTTTGGGGCTGGGGGTGTTTGGGGCTGTGACCTGCATCTCTCCAGAGACTGGCAGGTAAGACTATCCCAGGGGGACACAGTCTCATGGACCCGTGCCCCACGTTTGCAGTGTTGCAAATGTGCTGAGACTCAGCAACCAGCTTTGATTTATTTTTGTTTCATGGCAGCTAAGGTATTTTCTCTGAACTTCTGGCAGCCTGTGCCACTGGACAAGTGGCTGCCCATAAACTGTGCACAGCAGAGCGTGTTGGATGGGACCTGGCCACACGGGCCACAGCAACACGTGTGTGCACTGCCCACAGCCACACTCTTCATCTCTTCTGGTATATGGAGTCCCCACGGCATCGTGTCACCTCCTGGGAGGTTGTCCCCTGTGCACCTGCGGACACAGGTGGCTTCCTACCTCTGTGCTGGGGTAGATGGGGGCTGGAGATGGGCTGTGGGTTTCTGTCTGAACCAAACAAGTCACGGAGGGAGGCAAATCCTGGGGAGGGGTTGGGTTTGGAGTGCTGGAATGACGGAATGGACAGGGTGGGGGAAGCTCCCATAGATGACAACCGCATTGGTCAGGTACACTTTGTCTGTAGTAGATCCATGCTGGCCATCTCTAGCTACCTTCTTGTGTCGGGACACGGCTTCTGTCGGGACTTGCTCTATAATATTCCCAGGAAAAATGTACTGATACCTTATGTAAGACATCTTCATCTTTGCTAATGCTTTGGTCGATCTCTTTCAGAAGAAGCCTGTTGATTGCATGTGTTAAGTTTGTGAGACCTTCACCTGTGCTGTTGGTTGAGGGCATTTTTGGTAGGGAGTGGCTGAGCAGGTCCAGCTCAAAAGCAACCTAACCAGGACTCCTCCGTTGGGAATCCCTTTCTTCCAGCCTCACCACCAAGGACAATTTTCTGGCCGTTGTTGCCCGTGGCCTTTCTGTCACCTCAGGGCAGGAGCTCTAAGGGGAGGGAATGGGGAAAGGGGAGGAATGAGCCTACCAGGGTGATGGACAGTGGAGTATGGTCGTGTCAGATCCTGGCACCTGGCAAGAGGTCAATTGGTTTGAGTAAAAGGAAAGAATGAGGAGGAAGAAAGGCAGAAAGGGTAAGGTGATCTGCAGGGAGCGCTGGTGACAGGCACGGCTGTTTCTAGAGAGCGTGAGGAGCTCAGTCAACAGGAAGGGCCAGGCACTTGCCAAAATACACATTTGCACAATGGCCCGTAGCAGTTGGAATTCACAGAAGACGGTTGGGTTTCACTGGGTATAACTTTGGTTCACTGGGGTCTGAAGTACGATCCTGAGGTGCTACTGCAGAAAGCAAGAAGCCAAATGGTTGGAAAGCCACCAGGTCTGCACAAGTGCTGCATTGCCAGGCTGGTGCCCCCTTGGGTGGCCCGAGGGTCTCTCCTGCCATGGGGACCACGGCATCAGTGATGCCCCTAAACCACTCCCTTCCTGTGGCAGACAGGCACAGTGCCGGAGGTAACGATGCAGCAGGGACACTTGGGCATGTCTTGCTAAGTAGAAGAAACATACATAATCCTGTCATCTCCTGTTGTACCCGTACTAATGCATTTCTGTGGTGGCCTTACCTTTGTAGTCCCCTCAGCAGCACATGAGGGGACACTGAACAGTGATGCACAGAGGAGCAAACGGGACGTTCACGTGGTGCCAACGCTGCCATGGTCCATGTGCGTCTCGTGGAGGAGACCGAGTTCAGGTTCCTCTGCTCAGCCGGCGGGGGGTCCCGGGGTGTGTGAGCCCCCGCAGTCCCTGCTGCCTTCACCAAACCCGCCTCGCTGGGTCACCCCCGCGGGGACACATCACCCTTCCAGGTGTGTGCTGATTGCAGAGATGCTATCACAGGTGTGGTGCCCCATCAGCTGGTGAGAAAGCAGCGCTCACTCACCCACCCGCCCACCGCTGGCACATGCTCTGAGGGTCTCTCCCGGCTTCAGGAGGGAGAGGGGCTGATTCAGCTCCGCCCAGCGCTAATTAGGTGCTGCTGCCTGATGGAGGTTCCCCTGGGGGCTTTGGGAGGGTAAGCCTAGGACTCACTGTGGAGATCAGTTGCAAAGTAAAAACATGGTTTCTTGAGGTCTGTTTTATATTCAGCCTATTAATAGTTAACGCACCATATCATTTACTTGTGATTTTTTTTTTAATGATCATTAAAATGCCCCTAATTGCTGTTACTCTGCCATGCTGCTATTTCTCAGCAGCTCTTTGCACGCAGCCTTCCCATCAAACTGGAAAGCAGTTCTGGAAGCAAAAATTTTATGACATTTTTGGTCTTTAAAATTTAAAGAAGTACTCTTTAGAACTTCTTTACTAAAAATTAAAGAAATTTAAAGAGTACTCTTTTAAATTCTTCTGTTCTGGATCCTCCTGTGCTCCTCCACAGCTCCTTCTGCAAGGGCTTTGCCCTCCTGAAAGCTTATCAATTTATCCCCTCAGCTTTAGGACAAAACTATTCCCTTGTTGGTGCAGTCCATGTTGAACCGGGCTGGTGTGGCAGGTCCCCGCTCCTGCTTTGTTTGAGTTTATTTATTTTTATATCAGGAAGGTAATAAAATTCACAGAAGAGGTTTATTCAGACTCTAACTGTACAGTTTACACCACAAGCAAAATAAAACATCCAGCATACTTCTGTTTATTTATGGAATCAGCGCTGAGCCATCCCCCCCAGCAGCAGGTGACGTTTCCTCCCTTCACCTTGAGGACCCTCTTCTGCCCCGTGTCCTTACCCACCCCGTGGGCTCTCACTGATGGATCGGGTGTAGTAACACAGCCTGGATCCTGTTAACACAGGAGCTGGTCTCCATTTAGCAAGGTGTGGTTTCATGTACGTTCACCAGTGAGTCGGGATCAGTGTGGATGTAGGTCCTGGGGCCGGCTGACTGCAGGTAGCAAAGAAAGAGGTGTGGGAGGTAACAGCTCTGAAGAGAAAGTGCATTCACATCTTCACAATTTCTAGCCGGTGGACAAGAATTCTCCTGACTCGATACAAGGGGTCTGGATGAGGGAATAAATTGTCTTTTCATGCCTAGATCAATGGAGGGAGGGGAGAAGAGGGCAATGCAGGAAGGGAATCATGGAATTGTCAAAGTTGGAAGGGACCGCTAGAGCTCATCTAGTCCAACAGTTTTGTTAATATACCAGCTTCTCCACCACCACAGAAAGCAGTGAGGTCCTGGAGTTCATTCCCAAACTGGGAACGCTCAGACCAGGAGGCGGTCGGTGTGCCTGCAGGTCTGGTTTCTCCTCCCTGGGGTGGAGGTGGGCATCGGGCCGAGGGCTGCAACAGCCACATCCTGCCTCAGCCCAGATTTGCCAATATTCATTCATTGCTTTCTGCTCTTTAGCAATCAAACAGAAACTTCTCAGCTGGTACCTTCTGGGTGACAAGGTTAGAGAAATAACCTTTCGGTCACTATTGCAGTGTTGTGAAAATGTTCTTGGGTGATATAATGTGATTTAGAACAGGCGCATGGCACAAGCAGGGCACGTTACTGCAGAGCTGCCTGCACTCTCCAGTGGGGCTCAGAGAGTATGTTACCAAAAATGTGGATTAATTCTCTGAGTGACACTGTTCTCGCTGTGAGGGCAATGTTCTAGATGGAGCTGCTCAGATTTACATGGACATATTTGCTTGTTACAGAAACCTTCCCACCTGCAACCGCTTAAAGCCCATCAGTGGCCAAAGCTGCCCCAGCTGCGGCGGGAGGGGGTGGGAAATGCCATCCTACCACACAGAGGGCAGGCTGCATCACCATGTCGTGGCTGGAGGCAGTTGGCCTCTAGTTACTTCTGGGAAATATATTTAGATTTCAAGATTTGTATTGTCCTATTAAATGACTCTAAAAATGTAGGTAATGATAGGAACAGACAAAGGTATCTCTTCCCAGTGAAGCCATGTTGAATCATTTTATATTACCACCGAAGGAACAATCCAAGTTTTGACAACAATACTTGGCAGTATTTCTATTAAATGGCATTAACCAATAATTTCTAAAACTGCCTGTTAATTACAGCACTCAGCCCTTGCAGGCAGCTCTACTTTACATAGTGCAACCCAGTCTCCAGCCATCAGCTGAGGACTGTAGCCTTCTGTCGCAGCCAAACAAGACCATGCATTACCAAATTCCTGCCCAGTGTTAAGTCTGTCATCATTGGGGTTTTGATGGTGTTTTTTTGTTTGGTTGGGTTTTTTTGTTTGTTTTTAATCCTGGCACTGCCAGGTAACAGTCAAAAGAGCCGGTTTATGCACTGCCACCTCCGGGCAGCTCATCCGTCCAGTGCCCGTGGGCAGCTCGGTCCAGGGAGCGCCCGGCTCCAAAACACCTCCTGGAACACAGGGAGAGTGAATCTCCTGCAGGGAACTGGAACACCAGCAGGAAAAATGTGACATTTGTTTTGTGCTTATTGCTCTTGAGTATCTGTAATTGTCCTTGCTGTTGTCAGCGCTGCTGTTGCAGCCCTACCTGCGGCTGCCCAGACAGCACCATCTTCAGCACCCAAACTCCTCAAAAACACTTCCAGCGACTTACAGCAGTGGAGAGAAGGGATAAAACCAAATGGATACAATTAGCTTAGGCACAACTTAGTCATCCTCTTCTTGGTATAATTATAAAATGGACAAAGGTAGCGCCAACTAACCTCAAATGCCCTTCTAGCCATAATTAATTATATTGCATAATAATGGTGTCAGTTTAAACATTGTTTAAAACCGATGCTTTGCTCAAAATTACTGTTCAGCCACACTTGTGTCTTGCCCAACAGACTCACACACAGCGTGTCCCGACTCTTCGTTGTGTCGCCCGCGCATCGGAGAAGCCCTTGCCCAGAGAGGAGCCAGTGGTGGGGTCAGTGGTGCCTTATCCAGGGGTAAATAGGAGCGGGCAGATCCATCTCCCCGTGGTGCAGCGGGAGAAGGTCGATGCCTCAGAGCCCAGGGGGGCGGTGGGTTTGGAGGGAGCGTCCTTCGCCTTGACTGCACCAGGCAGAGGAGTTGCATAATTGATACAGCTGAACCACATCAGTCCTTTATTTATAGAACATAATGAAATGGTTTTCAACATCCTGGATCATGCTGCATGGGTGATTGCCATGTGTGCACCCAAGGAGAATAAATAAAAATACTGCATTCACCTTCCCCGGCTGCACCCAGGACGTTATTTTGAGGGCAGGGTGTTCTGCACGGGCGCTGCTCGGGGGCTGCAGCTCCATGAGCTGGCGGTTCGCCCTCCCCACGCAGGACGCAGTCACAGCCTGGTGGGGATCGGGGTGTGCAGGCACCCAAACCCTCCCCGGCCACAGTCCCGAGGGTGGTCCTGGTTCAGGCTCCACAGCCTGCCTTTGTCACCCGTCTGGTTACCTGGAAACCATACCATGCCAGTGCAAACATAAAAATAAAGAAAGAAATAAAAATGCTGTGGCGCTGGATGGCTCTCCCAGTGATGGCCGTGGAGGTGCGTCAGGAAGGTGCCCTGATGAAGACAAAGGCCGTGGTCAACGGGGCTTGTGAGGGACCCTCGGTGAGTGTCTGACCCTGAGACTGACCGTCATCCCCGGCAGACTCCACAGTACCAGTGTTGGGTGGCCCTGAGATGGGGTGACTGTAAAAGTTACACAAAATAAAGCACTGCTATTATTCTATTTTTTTTCTTGCTATTATTGGAAAAACATGGATGATTTATAAGTGTTTCTCTTGCTGGATTGTTTGTCCAGCTTTATATGATGTTCTGCTCTTCCTATTGCATCATTTGAACTTGGCCTTTATTTATGATGCTACATTGTTTTATGTATACACTTTATAATTAGAACTACTAATTTCAAGCTTGCTTACTGCCTGTAGTTGGCTTTTCCAGAGCATTACTTGCAGAAAGATCACAGTTACTCAGTTCTTTTCAATTGCTCAGTGAGTATTTTCATAAATTGAAAAGAAACCAGGACTTGGTTTTTAACTAAGATCTACACGGTGCCCATCTGGTGCATAGAAATGAACTGCATCAAAAAATGCATCTTTTCAGGAGGCGTTTAACCCCTCTTCTCAAAAATCCTGATTTTCTGAATTAAAAAAAATATTTATCACCACATCAACATACTGAGGGAGTCCAATGTTAGCTGCTATATTAGATTTAATTGGGGTTTTGACACGTAAAACTGGAGCCAAGACACACTGTGATATAAGAGATACATTTTGAACTGGGATGAACCCGTGTGGGTTAATGGTTCTGCAAGAAGGAGCGAGTCATTTACACACACACACACACACACACACTGCAAAAATTGGACACGAGGCCCTTTTTTTATCATATGCTATTTCGACTTTGCCAATGATTCGGGGCTGATTGCACCAGCTGCTTTCAGGAGCCCAGCGATGGCTCCTTTCTCAGTGACACCCGGCCTCCACCAGCACTGAGCAACTGTCACAGGTGAACCCAGGAAAAGTGAAATGTCAGAAGATAAAACAAGAAATGAGCCAGAATCTTACAATAACACTAACGTAAACCCCGGTCTGTTAAGAAGCGTCAGCCTGGTTTTTATCTTGTAGCAGGGAGATTGTTTTTGAAAACCTGTGCAGAGTGAAATGAATTCATAAACCTCCGTACCAGGTGCAATCATTAGTCAGTAAATGAATTACACATAATTATCTGCTTTGTATTTAATTCACTTGGCTTCCAGTTTCTTACTCTTCATACAGTGAAACTCTCTATCTCTCTCACACAAACACACTCTCCATGGGCAAGGAGGTTTTGGAGAGCTGCCATCGTCCTGACTCATGAATCAGACTCCATGATTTGAGTGATATTTATCTAAGCCTGCAAACAAAGAAGATGGCTATGTGTCCAATGAGAGAATAATTATTGTTATTATGTTTATAGAGCAACAAAGTCGGGAGTTAGGACCCCGGGGGAAAGGCGGCAGGAAGGGCGAGCTGGGCAGAGGCAGAGCTGTAGGCAGTGTTTCGGTGCAGGGATGTGCCAGGGCCCTCGCCGCTGCCCTGCGTGAGTCACCGCTGCCGGGCAGGTGGCCCGGAGATGCTGCCCCCGGGGACGCCTGCCAGGGGCCAGGAGACCACCTCCCCGAGGGCCCTCACCGTGGCACCGGGCAACGCCGGGCCGGCGAGGGTTTGGCAGCGGCCGAGGGGAGCTGGGGTTGGCAAGAGGCACCAAGATGGACAGGAGGACCCAGCCCCGGGGGCACTGGGTCCCAGCACTGACCAGGCAGCAGGAACATGAGCTTTTCTTATTCAGAAGCATCCACAGTTACTTTAACTAAACTACAAAGAAAGGGGAAAAAAATCCGTAACGGAAAGAGTTTGTTTTGTAGGGACCAGCCGCTGTCAGAGCAGGTCGCTTACAAATAAAGATGTCCCTGGAAATGGCGTTTGGGCTCCCGGCTCCACAACTTTGGGGGAGCTCGGGCAGAGCAGCCGCTCCAGCCCGGGGGGCTGCGGGCGCTGTGACGGCGGTGCCCTGCGGGACCCGGGGCAGGGACGGAGGAGGCTCTGCCTGTCCCCCAGGGCTGACCCCAGTAGGTGGTAAGTCTGGGATAACCAAGAATTTGAATGCCACACTTCTAAAATACACCTGCCACTCTAAAGCCTCAACCTGCCAGGATGGTAGGAGTGCCCTGGATTCAGAGGGCACCCCCTGCCCTGCCGGGGAGGGGGCTGCACAGCTCTGAGGTGTGCCTGCTGCCCAGGCACGCACCCCCACAAAACTCACCTTCGTGGCTCGTGTCCCCCATGGTCACAGCCGACCTCTAGGGTGTCTGTAGGGCAGGGTGATGGCTTTTCACCAGCTTGGCACCACCAAGGAACAGCCCTGGCCACCACAGCCCTGGCTCTGGAGACCTTGTAGAAGGAGGCCAGGCTCTGGAACTGGAAATGTTCTGGGTTGTGGTTTGAGGACACAGCCAGTGGCCATAACATCAAGCGGCACTCCTGTGGAGAGAGTTGGAAAAAGTGTCACTTACTTCCATTAACTCAGCTTTTGGATGGTGAAGTCTGAGCCTCCTTGCAACTATCTCTGATGATCTTTATGTTAACGACAACCCAGGGAGACAGAAGGGCAAACAGCCAGAGGAAGAGGTTACCTGGAAATAACAATGAATTTAAAATTAATCCTGTGCAGGGAACGAGACATCTTGTTCCTCCCCCGAGACCGTTGTGAAACATTTCCAATTTTTGTCCTTTTTATGGTCATGGAAGCAAACCCAATAACCTGCATAATTATCAATGCTCCAAAAAATACCACCAAAAATGCAAGATAAATAATGATGTTTCTTCCACTCAACCCACTTTTAGAAGCAAACTTTATCTCACTAGATGTTTTAACTGATTATTAAATCCATGTTAATATTGCAGGAAGAAACATGGAAAGGCTTTGACTAAGGAAGAACTGCCAATGCAATGATAGGCAATGATACCTTGGATAGCAAAGCGTTCCTCTGGGGATGTGCACTGAAGTGTTGGCTTCTTTAAACTGCCGTAAATCTTCCTTAATTCCTTTTTCAGAACAACTGAAGTTTTCTGGAGCAGGTTGGTAGAAAACACCTACATGCCAACATTAACATCCCAGGGGAAAATGGGCTTTGTATGGGAGCAATCAAAAATATCGCTGAGACAACACTGGCCACGAGAGGAGAAAATGTGGTTTAAGGACTTAGTAAATGCTGGGAGTCCTGGATCGGGACTCTCTCAATCTCCCAAAGTGGGCACCCAGCTGTGGGAAAGCCCCCCCCCTTTGCTCTGCCCCACTGCAGCAGCAAGGAGACCCTGCTGCCCCCCAGCCTGGGGGAGCCAGGGACGTCGGGGGGACCCCAGCCCCAGCACTGCCCAGCCCGCACTCACACTGAAAAATCACTGCTGCTGTGGAAGATGACTTCTGAATGGAAACAGACCTTTGTGTCCCCAAACATCTTTCTTTATTTATCTCTCAGCTTGTTTGTTTATCAGTTGATCTAATAAAAATATCCCTGCTCCCCACCGGTTTGGTCTACAAGGCATTTTAAGATCCTCGAGCAGAGGAACAAACAAAACCATATAGTATGTTACCAGGCAGGTAGAGAAATAGCTAAGCACAGCACTCCATAAATATTATTGTGCTTACAGCAGTTTCTGCATCTCCCTCCCTGACACACAGAGGTTTTATATTATTACTACGGGGAAAAAAACCTAGATATTAGCCAAAGTCATAGGAAAAGCACCCCCCTGTTTACAGTCCCCAAGAAATAATGCCATGAACTATGGGCCCAAAAAGAATTCCACAAATGCTTCTCTCTGAGCTAGCTGAAAGAAAACAGGCAAAAGAACAGGGCTATAAATTGCTCCTTCATTATAAATCGGTGTACTTGGCACATCTGCCCCAGTGCACCTGGGGGCTGTTGCTGGACATAATCTGCCTTTAATTTTTTTATATTTTGAACATTGCAAGGCAGCGCCTTCGCACAGTGAGCTCGGTCACACTGTCACAGGTACCGCAGGGCCAGGGAGCAGCCCCAGCTGCGCTGCCAGACCCCAGGCGGGTTCCAAAGATGGGCTGTTCCCAGTTTTCCCCGTGCTCCCGAGAGCCCGGGCGCTGCGCAGCCGGCACCGTCCCAGCGCCAGCCGAGCAAGTTCAGGGCTGTCGGCACCTGTCTGAGAGATGGGCTCCTCCAGCACCGCACGGCAGCGAGAGGCGGCTCCTTCGCCGGGGTGAACTCTGCCTGGTTTGGTGCAGGATCAGTACGGGAAAACACATTTCAAATCCGGAGAGAGGCATTTTTCCCAGCTTACAAACTCTTCAATGTTTACAAAGTTTTAAATTGGAGTCAGTAACAAATGATTCAGCTGCAGAGATTTGCATAAGCCTTACAGATGCTGGACGTCTTGAGTGATACCAGTGAAACTTGCTAGTACTTTGCAGAATGATTAATAGCCTGTGCTTGTGGGGATTTTACTAATTTTTGATGAAGTTACTCAAGTAATTTAGAGTAGGAATATTGTTTACCAGCCCTGGGAATATTACATTGCTGGGCCATGTTCACGTGTGCTTTGGAAGGCTTAGAAGGGGACAGGGAGAGGAATGGAAAGAACCACATCCTCCCCTGGATCACAAATCATGCCTGTTTGTACCTGAAAGACCATAAATTTGTCTGTTTGCAGAGTACTGGCACGTCGCCTGGGAACTTCCATTAAAAGATGTGGTTCTTCTGCACTGCACCTCCCAGTGTCAAAGGCGGCATCTTTAGCATGCAAAGGAAAGCTTTAAGGTCACGTCTGTGGTAAGAGAAAAATCCCTGATTGCCCTGACAGCGGTCTCAGCATCGCCTTCCCGCTGCCGGGGCATCTCCTGCAGCGACACTGCACCGGCTCCAGCTCCCCTCTTACTCCGTTCTGTCCTGTTGCACAAGCCTTGCTCCAGGATGAACCTATAAATTCACATTCTGGTGATGTGAATGCCATCTAGCCCTGACCTTGCCATGGTTCCTCACACACACATAAAGCGTCCTCTGAAGCCAGGGGGAGTTTGGCTCCAGAAGCTGATGGCAGGACAGGCCCCGGGCAGGCAGGCCCTGCCTGTGTGCCCATCGATCCCACACCTTCCCACTGCCTTCCCCTCTGGCAGGAGGGGACTGAGGGCCTGGGCTCCCACCAACAGCTCCGTGCTGGGACCGGGCCCTGCAAAGGCATGAAGACAAGTCCCCCCAGCACAACTCATGGGCACAGCCCTGAAATATAACCTTTTCTCAAGGACCCACTCCCGGCCCAGCCTCCAGCTGCCCCATGCCAGAGCACTGAACTAACCCCATTTGCAATTGTTTTGCTCAACATATGGGTCCCAGATAGGGAGAAATAGCCAAAAGGCGGCAAATTTAACTCAGTGTGGGCAAGTCCCCACCGCGCTGGGTGTGGGTCTGTGCTGGTGAGCTCTGCATCGGGGAAGGGACACAAAGCTGAAGAGAGGAGCAAAGCCGAGCTGGGAGGGAGGGGCAGGGAAGATTTTGTGTGCGTCTGGGAAGGAAACAATGGGACAAGGGGAAGGAATTAAAAGAACCACATCCTTCTCTGCATCACAGCCCTGCCGTTGAAGCTGCTCCCTCACGCTGGACCAGCCCTCAGTGCCCTGCTTCTCACATTGCTCCCCTGTGGCTGCTGCGGTGAGGCTCCAGCCCAATGCATGGGTCTCGACCAGGGACCATTAGGGCAGCAACACTCTTAGCCCTTAGATCAAGCCTCCCTTCTTCTTTCCGATGACATTTTGATGTGTCTCCCACCCTTGCTGGCCTGTCCCAAGCCCCTACAATTAAGCTCCGGCCCCACAGTTCTGCTGAACATAAGCCAAAGGATGTTCTCCTCTCCCTCCGCCTCCAACCCCACAGCCAAGGCCGCCCTGCCCCAGAGAACCTGGCCCTCTCCAAAGCTCCCCACAAACCTTCGGGGGAGAGGTCCTGCCCACACACCCCACCTCCTGCAGTGCCTCTTGGGGAACAGCTACACAAGGAAAGGACAAAGGCGAGATGGCCTTTCCTTGCACCCTCTTGCACTCATGTCCTCCCCTCTCAACTCTGCTTCCACCCAGCTTCTCAAGCTCATTGTTGTCTTTGTGAACTGCTGCATGCCTCATTAATGGCGATATTGGTGCTTTTCCATTATTGCTAGATTCCATAATATTTGTACTATTCATATTATTCACCCTTGTACAGTCTTTGTATGTTCAAAGCATTTGCAACCATTTACTGCTTATTTCTCCCAAAAGCACTAGCAGCCCCCCTTAGCAGATGGACCAGTCAGTACAGAGAGGGTAAGAGCTACCAGCAGCAGCCTCAGCATCTGAGGGGCCACCATGAACTCTTTTGGTCTGAATGATCCAGAACCAGGTCTCCTCAACTTACTGTTCCCTTTATATAAAAAAAATGTCTGCAAGTGCCCATTTCGCAGGCCACTTTAAGAGCTCTCAGCCATGTATATGAGCAAAAATTGTTTAAAAAAAGCATTGTGTTTATAAATACACAGATATATGTATATACTTATGCATGCATATATAGATATGCCCATGTATATATGGATATACATGCCTATATTTGGGTACATACCTATATACTCATGTAATGTATAATATATACGTAAGGTAGAACTGCAAATATATACTAACATAATGTGTACGACATTGTAGATATTATATATAATGTATGTTATATATTACAATATGTTTACCCCTATGAGATATAATCAGGTTTCATTTTGCTCCAATAAGCCTTTGACTGTGGTCAAGGTATCCATTTGACCATTTGAGGTTTCCCGTTTGGATGGTGAACTGTAAATGCCCAACTTCCCTGTCTCCAGGGAGCCAGAGGAGCTTCATCCCTTCCTCGCAGTGCCCATGAGAGCACTGGGTTGATGTTCAGCAGGAGAAGCCTAAACCAACCTGAACACCACCATCCTTGGCTCCCTGTGGCTCCGAGGTCACTCCACAACAAACAGCTCTACTACCTGGAGAGCTTCTGCTGTGAGGGGAGAGGTTACACACTTGGAAGCGTACACAGCCCTTCAGGATTTATTTGCTCACTCCAGAGAGAAAGTGAGTCATGAGAAACCTTAAGGTGGAGCACTCAAAACAAGGAGTGTATAAATGATTAGCAAGGGAAGGTCAGCACCAGCTCTTCAAGTCTGAGCACGTCCCGTTGTCGATGGCACATAAATAATACTCGCTGGATGCCTGTGGTTGCAGGAGAAGAGCTATCACACTTCTGGTCTCTGACACCTCTCTGACTCATGTAGTGTCATCAATGAGGATGAGCTCAGTTTTTTGTAAAAAAAAGGTAGCTAAGGTTACGGGAGCAAAGTGGTAAAAAATGGAACTCAATCAACAGACCCAGTTTCAAGTCAAAGCTGCAGGCTTGACAAAAGCCAAGCTTTTCTTTTTAAAAACAAACCCAAATGCCTTTCCTACATGGAGAGCC